AACTGAACCAGGGAGGCATCCCCGAAAACAATTTTATGGTTTGGTAAGGGAAAAAATTATTTGTATAAACATACTATGCAGTAAAACTGCATCAATAGAGTATAAAATCATATGACTATAACGAAAAAGATTCACGTCAATGGATACTAAAAAAGACCAAGCAATACAGTATCCGAACTCATTGGTAAATTATGTCCTGAACCACACATATAGTACTGTATTTTTGTGAATACAGTAATCAGAAAACTAGCCATAAAATAAAGCTGCATTAATTTGAATTAATCCCTAGGTAGCAATTAATGGTACCAGATAAAGCACAGTACCTATAGAAAAATGTATGACAGAAACTAATTTATGGCACAGGGCAAAAATATGAAAAAAATCCCAAAATTATGCTTACTGCTAATGGCTCAAGTCCTTCAAAATGAAGGTTTGATTACCACACCGGTTAAGGAACTATGACCAGCTGTGTGCTTGCTGAAGGCAAAAGGGGATACAGATAGGTAGTCGAAGAAGGTAGTTACAAATACAGCTATGATCAAGTGACTAGTTACAGAAATGAATACTGTAATTGCCATGAGTATTTCCTCCTTTGTTATGAGTAGGGTTTTTTTTGTTTGTTTTTGTTTTTAAAGATTTTATTTATTTATTTGACAGACAGAGATCACAAGGAGGAAGAGAGGCAGGCAGAGAGAGAGGGAGAAGCAGGCTTCCCGCCAAGCAGAGAGCCCAACGCGGGGCTCGATCCCAGGACCCTGAGATCACGACCTGAGCAGAAGGCAGAGGCTCAACCCACTGAGCCACCCAAGTGCCCCATGAGTAGGTTTGTGTGTCTGAGTGTTTATCTCTGTTCTTCTCTATTCCCTTATTATATAACATAAAATCATATTTTATATCATACTATTATAGCAAACAATATCATTCTATTTAAGTATTATTAATTTTATATCACAGTATTTAAGTTACGAGAAATCAAAGAAATGTAAACATTATTTAAGGACTTTACTTCCTTTTCTAGAGTAAGGGTTAGTGTGTTTTCTCTCTTTCTTTTTTCAAAGATTTTATTTATTTAACAGAGAGAGAGATCACAAGTAGGCAGAGAGGCAGGCAGAGAGAGGGGGAAGCAGACTCCCCGCCAAGCAGAGAGCCCAATTCGGGGCTCAATCCCATGACCCTGAGATCATAACCTGAGCAGAAGGCAGAGGCTTAACCCACTGAGCCACCTAGGTGCCCCGGTTACTGTGTTTTCAATTATACGCAGAATAGTTGTAATATGTTAGATAGAATTATGACCTTGTTACTGTCTTTTTTTTTTTTTTTTTTTGGAAGATTTTATTTGACAGAGAGAGAGAGATCACACAAGTAGGCAGAGAGGCAGGCAGAGAGGGGAGGGGAAGCAGGTTCCCCACTGAGCAGAGAGCCCGATGCTGGGCTCGATCCAGGACCCTGGGATCATGACCTGAGCCAAAGGCAGAGGCTTAACCCACTGAGCCACCCAGGCGCCCCTCGTAACTGTCTTTATTTGGAGACTAAGTATGGTTTTAGGAGATGCATATGGGTGCCAAGTTAACATGGGATGATTAAATTTTATAGTCTACATGGTACCCAGTTATTAGGTCAAACATTATTCTGAATGTGTTTATAAGAATGTTTCTGAATGAGATTAACACTTGAATCAGTAGACTGAGTAAAGCAGATTGTCTCCCCATTTGGGTGACCCTCATAATCAGATGAAGGCTTGCATAGAACAAAAAGGCTGACCCTGTCAGGAGTAAGGGGAAATTCTTCTTGCCTGACTGCTTAAAGCTGATACATTGTTTTTTCCCCCTGCCTTTAAACTTGAACTGAAGTATAGGCTCTTCTTCAGTCTAGAGCCTTCTGGCTTTTGGACTGGAACTTACACCTTTGGCTCTCCTGGTTCTCAGGCTAGTGGACTTGGACTAGATCTAAACCACTGCTCTCCTGTCTTTCCAGCTTGCCAACTACAGCTCTTGGGATTTCTCACCCTCTATAATCACATGAACCATTTCCTGGTAATAAATCCCTTCCTGCCAAGTCCCATGGCTCTCCTAATTCTAAAAGTACACAAATACTTGGAATTTCCCTCCAGTGTTTTATAAACCATCTAGATCAGTAATTCCAGTAGAGATAAAATGTGAGCCACATAAGTAATTTAAAGTTTTCTATTAGTCCTGTTAAAAATAAATTCGAAAGAAACATGTGAAATTAGTTTTAATACATTTTATACTACCCAATATATAAAAAATATCATCGTAACATGTAATCAATGTTTTTTGTTTGTTTGTTTGTTTTAAAGATTTTATTTATTTATTTGACAGAGAGAGATCACAAGTAGGCAGAGAGGCAGACAGAGAGAGGAGGAAGCAGGCTCCCCGCTGAGCAGAGAGCCCGATGCGGGGCTCGATCCCAGGACCCTGAGATCATGACCTGAGCCGAAGGCAGAGGCCCTAACCCACTGAGCCACCCAGGCGCCCGTAATCAATGTTTTTAAACTATTAATTTTTTTGTATCAAGTCTTCAAAATCCAGGACACCTGGGTGGCTCAGTAAGTTAAGTGTCTGCCTTCAACTCAGATCATGACCCCAAGTTCCTGGGATCGAGCCCCATATCAGGCTCCCTGCTCAGTGGGGAGACTGCTTCTCCCTCTGCCTGCTGCTCCCCCTGCTTATACTCTCTCTATATATATCAAACAAACACAATCTCTTTAAAAAGGAAGAGTCTTGGGGTACATGGGTGGCTCAGTGGGTTAAAGCCTCTGCCTTCGGCTCAGGTCATCATCCCAGGGTCCTGGGATCGAGCCCCGAATCAGGCTCTCTCTGCTCAGCGGGGAGCCTGCTTCCTCCTCTCTCTCTGCCTGCTTCTCTGCCTACTTGTGATCTGTCAAATAAATAAATAAATAAATAAATCTTAAAAAAAAAAAAAAAAAAGGAAGAGTCTTCAAAATCCAATGTGTATTGTGCACTCACAGTATTTCTCAACTCAGGATGGCCACATTTTAAGTGCTCAACAGCTACATGTGGCTAATGGTTATGGTAGTATTGGACAGTATGTGTCTAGATGCATTATTCTATTCTAAGAAAGATAATTGGAGAGCTTCTGCTTCTGGCCCCAAATAACCCAATTACAAGTAAGCCACCACTCTTTTCCTCCCTGTTCCCTTTGGGTGGAAAGACACTCTGGTAAGGATAGCTAGTGTCTTTCAGTTGGGAAAGAGGAACTGTAAAACTCTTTCTCGTTACTGAATAAAGCAACTAAGAATTCCTATACCTTTTTTAACCCTAAAACTGAGGTCAGAATGAATTATTATGCTGTAAAAGCCAACGCTCAAAATTAAGGAGGCTTGTAATAATTCACTGAGCACTTTGTTGTCACTTGTAGATCACAGCACAAAATAGATGCAAAGTTTATCCGTAGTATTCAAGTCCTTGCAGAACACAAGAACTGGTGTTCTTCCCTAGGTTCCCTAGATGACAGAGGAAATATTCTTACCATGGCTTAATACAAACTCCAAGTAAAATGCATATTTAAAAGTCCTAGTTATCTCAAAGGACTGTAGTTTATAATGATTCTCACTATACACCAAAAGGTACATTTCTCCCTTTTCCCATACTAGACATAACCTTCTTAGCCTCACTTAACCTGCACAAACCATTAGAGACGTGGCCCTCAGAAAGATCATAAAATCTACACATAAATACAATCTTGCCATTTCATTAACACATCAAGTTCCTACAAGTCTCAAATAGGTGAAAGAGTCATCCTTCAAATTCACTGTAAGAACTATATAAACTTCTCTTCTGGTACAAATAAGAGCAAACAATTTCCCCCTTGTGCATGTCTGTTCCATGCTCCTCAGTCTTACTAAGTGAGGGACTAGAATCCATCTCCCAGTACGTACCTGCCTTTGAGCGAACCATCAATTCCAACTAGGAAGGGAGCTTCCAAAACCACGTTATTTGTGACTCCTAGGAAGACAAACACAGGTCAGAAGGAAAGAGTACTTGTGAAGCTTTGAAAGGGAAAACCTACCCGCTATAGATAGATTCATCATGGCCACAAAAATCATGAAAAGTTGTCCTCACCCCTGGCCAAGGGGTTTCCTTCCAAATCTCCCCCCCCCCCCCCCCCCCC